GCCTCAAACTCACAGAGATCCGCCTGCCTCTGCCTCCAGAGTACGGGGATTAAAGGCGTGCGCAACCATTGCCCAGCTCTTTTATACCTTTCTGTGACAGTCAAAATGAGAACACATGACTGCTCTTCACATAGTGAAGGAAAAAGGCTGTCATGAGAATACCTGCCAAGGTCTTCAGCATGTTTTTAAGCCTAATAAACATCTACAACTCTACTGTTAAAGGTCTGGGAAATGAGCAAAGTGGAATTGCGTTTCCTAATTTGCAAAAACAATTATGGTCTGCAGGGATTTGTTTTAATTTTTTTTAACTCATTTCAAACAAGGTCTGTTCCGTTTTCTCTTTCGTCATGGCTCCACAACTTAAGGCTTTCCGGAACAACTTTTGCAAACTGGAGAGCCTGACGCTCTTTTTCCTCTATTAACCTCACCTGGAGGATGTGTTCTGGCTTAGTTTCTTAAATTTGCTTTGGAAGGCACACACTGTTTAATTCAAATTTTCAACATGAGAACAACTGATAAAAGAGTTTGGGAAAGTTAGTGGTTGGACCACAGTGATGCTTCTGTGAATTGTTTTCTGTGCTGACAGAACTCTACTACTCTGCTCACAAACGAAGCTATGGTTTTTAGATAAGGAGTTTTTAGGGGGCTGGGGAAGAAGGTTCAATTGATAATGTGTTGGCTAGACAAGCCTCAGGACCTGAGTTTGGATCCCCAACATCCTCAGAAAAAGCAAAGCACTGCAGCACACACCTGTAGTACCAGTGCTGAGGAGGCAGACGCAGGCAGATCTCTGAAGCTCACTGGCTGGCCAAATGGCCAGCTGAATTGGTGAACTCCGGGTTCAATGAGATGAAGATACCTGGCAATCTCTGGCCTCCATTTGCTCATGTAAAAACACATAAGAATGTATATAAGCACCGTGCCCCTGCACCCCACATATACATTTTCAAACCTCAAAAACACGAGAACTACAGGACAGGAGCCACATATGATAAATCATTCTTTAAAAAAAAAATTCTCTTAACTAAACTTTCTTAAAATTTCTCGGCGCTATCTGTCTTTAGTTTTAAGATAGCACATTATGTTGGGTGTCCCAGTATGCACATGTAGTATTAGAACTGGGAGGCTGAGCCGGATGGTTGTATAGAGCCCTGGGAAACATACTTCAGTGAATGAGTGAGTGAGTGAATGTACACACACATTCATACACAGAACAAAATATCATGTAAATGTACTTAGTGGAATTAAGGTATAAGAAGTATAAGCTTTCTGGGTGCTGTAAAGCAACTGTCAATGTGACTGCCCATAACAGATTGTGTGCTGTCTCTGGAATGGAGACTAGACCTATCTCACAGGGCGACCAGGGGAAGATCAGAGCTCATCTGCAAGAATGGTATACACATGGAGGCACATCACACAGACAGTCTGCAGAGCAGAAAGTGAAGCAGGGGCCCTCAATGATGACATTGTATCCTGCCTTCTCATGGAATTAAATCCTCAAAGAAATGGAAATCTACATTTAAAAAGTTTGCTAAGTATATGAAATGAGTTATATTTGAGATTAAAAGAAACAGAAATATAGAAAACCATCCCAAGGGAAATCAGGCCCTATCAGAGATTATAAGCAATTTGTGCCCATCAAGGGAGAGACAGATCATATGGCCACTAGGTCAAAAAAGACTGCTTATGGCCAGTCAGAAATATAGGTGTCAGTATGGTGGCACATACTGATAGAATATAACTTGGGAGACTGAATCAGGTGAAATGAATGAGGCAAGCTTTGACGATATAGCCCCAGATCAGATCCTGTCTTAAAGAAAAAAAAAAAGGCAGCAACAACAAAAAACTAAACATCCCCCCAAAAACCCACAAAACAAAACAAACAAACCAAAAAACCCCCAAAACAAAACAAAAAGAAAAAATAAACCCAAGATGGAACTGGGATACTCAGAGGGGACTCACAGGTGCCAGGGAAGTCGCTGTGTAGGTCCTCTGGCTATCTGGCTCAGTGCTAAAATCTGGAAACCCCACAGAAGAGCTCCTGGATGCTACTCAACCCTGACGGGTACCAAAAGACCCCGGGAAGCAACAGCAGGGAAATGGGGGAAAAGGACCAAATTCTCAGGTTTCACTACTGTTTAAATTCCTACATACACCCCAGGGAAGTTTTGGTTCCTAATTAATGCAGCACAGGTATGTGGTTAGCAGAGATCATAGAAGTCTCAGATTCTGGAACGGATCCATCAAGGCAAATAAATCTAACGCACTCTGACACATTTTTGCAAATGTATTCACATTTTTATAATGTTTTTCGAAAGTCCAACTTTGCCAACAAATGAAGGTGATAATGACTTTCTGATTGATTAGCAAGATATCACATGTTCTATTAAATAACCCCTTATAAGCTTTGACAGAAAAGACAAAATAAACATAGTATGATGAACTCAAAATGGAGAGAAATCTGGGAGACACATCTGTAGTCCATAGGACAGGACAAGATAGACAAAAACAAGAACAAAGAAAACAAACACAGATGCAGGCAAAATTTATTAACAAAATCTAACATTCTTTCACTATGGGAAAAAATTCAAACTTGGACTAGAGATGAACTTCCTTCAGATGTTAAATTTCACTAAGATAATCCACAAGACGAATCATAGTCAATAGGGAGGGGCTGAGTGCTTTCTTCCTAAAATGAATAAAAAGACAAAAATGTCTACATGCTTTACTTCCATTTAGCGCTATACTAAAAGTCTGGTGCACTCCAAGAGATAAGACAGGAAATCAATGACATCCAGAAAGGAAAAAAGCACAAAGTCATTTCTATTGCAAATGCCATAATCTTGGGAGTATAAAATCATAAGGAATCTACTAAATAATTCTCAGGAACAAAGAAAGAAACCTAGAGGGATCACAGGAAAGAAGATCAATGCATAAACTTCTGTTATTTATATATCAGCATTGAAGGAAAAACCATCCTACTCAATACCACCATAAGGAATAAAAGAGGGATACATCTAACACAGCATAAAATCAATAATCTGAGAATCCTGAGACATTGCTGAAAAAAAATCAGGATAGACCAAATGAATGGGAGAGCAGCCTATGTCACTGAATGGAAAGGTACAAGATTATTAAGAGTACAACAATGAAGCCGGGATGTAGTTCAGTGGTGGACTGCTTCCCTAGGCCCAGGGTTCGATCCCTGGTTCTGAAGAAAACAAAATAAACAAACAAAAAACCAAAACATGACAATACACCAAAATAGATGAAGAGACTGACTGTATTCCCACAATGACTGTAGCTACCCTTTCTGAAGAACTGACCTCAGTTCCTAAATTCCATATAGGGATGAGGTATAGCTCAGCAACAAACTACTTGACAAGCATATCAGGGACCCTTGTACTCCTTAAAACAAGAAAACAAGCAAAACTGAATTATCCAGATAGAAATGCAAACGAGTCAGATTAATCAGAACAAGTGTGAACCCGGCATGACTTTAACAGTAGGCTCAGAAGGCAACTTAAAAATTTTGATTTTGGGAAAGGAGTTTGACTGAAGACTCGAACTCCCTTATTGTACACTCATCTAAAAGTCAGAGAAAACAACATACTATGATAATGGCCTTAGGCTAGGTACATAGACCAATGGAGCAGACAGAGGAGCAGATCCTTACATTTATGAATTTTTGACAAGAGTGGCTATAAATTATTGAAGAATTATGTAGATACCACATAATAACAGATAATATGTATTTAGTGCTTACCATGTGCCTGAAACTATTTGCTAAACTGATACCTTCTAATCCTCATCCTAATTCAATTAAGTAGACTGGATTCAATGCCCACCATTGAACAACAACAATTTAAAATTGATGTCCAAAGAGATAAAAAAACAGCAAATTACAAACACCAAAAGAGATTGGATTCTGGTGTGTCACTGACTCCGTGAGAACGTGATGTATTTTGAGTCCCTTCTCATAATGCCATTCCAATAATGTTAGTATTTTAAAGAGCCAGGCAGTGGTGGCACATGCCTTTAATCCCAGCACTCAGGAGCAGCCCTCGGAAGACAGAGGCAGGTGGATCTCTGAGTTTGAGGTCAGCCTGGTCTACAGAATGATTTCCAGGACAGCCAAGGCTACAATGAAAGACCCTGTCTCAAAAAACCAAAAGAGGGAGCATTTAGAAGCTGTTTCTGCTCTAACTAACTGAAACATATGATACCACTTTATAAATATATTTCCAGTGCCTCACCTCTCAGCATTTTAATATATCCACCTCTATTCTCTCTCATCCCTGAATGAGTATCATTCCAGGAAGTCATTTCCTGGTATTTATCGGATAGTGCCCCGCTTCCCCCTACATCCCCATTTTACCATCTTTCTGAAGCCTCAGAACAAGGCCAATTAACTATTCAAAGACTCCATAGTATTTTTTCTCATAAAGGAAAGCCTTTATGAGATCTGGTAGGCACATGAAGATACTGATAATAATAAAAGGCTGCATACATGATGTTTAAAAGGGTACTTTGTATACAATAAGCTACCCACCTCTGGTTCTCTTAAAAGAAAAACTCCAAGTGGCAAGGGGAAATGACACCGTTCCACGCCAAAGAACCCAAGGGCCAAAGGTCTAGCCTAGCCGATACCTCTGATACCGTGAGAAACTTTGAACAGGCAATTAAAATGATCTCAGATTTTTCTCTATGGGGAACAGGGAATCCAAAACAAAACTCTGACGTTTTTAGGAAAGTCTACTAATGGCTCACTAGTACAGCTAGCCACCCAAGCAAGGGGCACCTCACCTACCTGTGCATGTTCCCATTGGTGGTGAAAGACTGGCCACACACAGTACACTTGTAAGGCCTCTCGCCTGAGTGCACCAGCATGTGACGATCCAGGGAGCTGGCAGAGCTCAGCGACTTCCCACAGATGCTGCATGAGTGGTCAGCTCCTCCAGTGTCTGTATTGTGCTGCAGAGAGTAATCAGTGCGATGGTCACCTGAGAAGACGGCACTAGAAACACAGATCTGGGCTCTATAAAAACCAGTCAAGTCTCTCAACTCTCTCCCCGTGTCTTTTGAAGTGTTGTTGAAGGAGCCCAAGGCCTTAGGGACAAGGGCATATAATTATTTTGTTAGATTATCTTCCACTCCCAATTCTAGTTTTGGAAATTAGTTCTAGTGCAAAACTGAGACAGTTAATCTTTGCAAGTCTATGGGTTAAATAAACACATATATTAATTCCTCTGGGTGGAAGGAATCTTAACTATACAGCCAATATGCGAAATAAACAGGATTTTCACACTGGGAGACCACAAACCTTGTTCCAGCCTGACGATTTAGGTTGTTTAGAGAATAGAAACCTTTATGAGGTCGTTTGGGGTTCTGAAATATGGTAAAAAACATTTCTATCCAAATCTATGTTTCTTTAATCACTCGGTGCCATTACTACTTAGCAGCCTTTTATGATTTTCCACCATCATTTCCCACTGTTCTCTCTTCACCAGCAGTCTGTCATGAGCCAGCAATGGCATGAGTGGGATAAGGATACATCCCATTGTAAAGGGAAAAAGATCCCACGTCTAGGAAATCCTCGGCTGCATGAAGCACGCTTATATCAAATAAGGAGCAGCAACGGGGACAATGATACACATTTGTATTCCAGCACTCAGCATGAAGGAGGACTAGGGGCTTCAGTCAGCTTCATTACATAGCATGATCCTGTAATGAAAAACTAAGGGAAGAAAAAGGCAGGTGTGGTGATACATGCCTATAATCCCAGCACTAAGGCTGAAGTGGAAGGCTGCTAATAGTCCTAGGATAACCAAGGCTACAGTCTGAGTTCAAAGCAGCCTGGACTAGGAATACACGTAAAGGTCCCCATGTCAGTTCCCCTTCCTCTGCACACACATACACAACCAGAAAAAGTGTGAGGGTTGCGGGGGAGGGAAGAGACTTAACTATAATATTTTATCATAAGAGATTTAGTTCACACCATTACAAACAATAAGAAACATGGTTTCGATATATGTGATCAGTTAATTGTATGTTCTTTGAAAAACATTCTTAGTCTTTGTCATATAGAAACATGACTAGGCAAAAAATTATTTCATAATGACCCCAAGATTGCTAAAACACTAAACTTTAAACATAGCTTTACAATTTACTAGACAATTTAATTAGTGAGAACAATTTAAAACAAAAATACAAAGCAGTGGCGAACCTGACGGATGTGCATGGTCAGCTGGTGCTGGGTAGAGCAAACCTTTTCACACAGGGGACAGCTGTAGGAAGATTTCTCCTCTTTCGTCTCCTAAAGAGATTAAAACAGAGCATGGATTTCCAACCACAGTAAACTGGCACCTTCTGTTTTGTAATAAGCCCACGTCTAAGCAGCTGCAATCATTAGATTGGAGCCTGTCCAGGTATTTGTGCAGGTCACTTGCCCATCTGTCCTCAGTTTCCTTGCTTAAAAATGAGAAAACTAACATTGGCTTCCCTGTGCTAAGATTAAATTAGTGGACAAAGAGCAGGCAGTGCCACAATGCTCAGCACAGGGGCTCTCAGTGTTTATTAGTGGTCTACCACACATCACTTCACTGACCCCAGTGACTGAAAACCACCATGTCACCTACAGCTGAGTTAGGACAGGGTGTATTTCTCCCAACTCACACCCAAGCTCCAGGTACTATGTTCTTCCATTATTTGTTTGTTTGCTACTGTCTCATGTAGCCCAAGTTGGTCTCTAAGTCCTTAAATAGCCTAGACTTCCTTTAACTCTTGCTTCTCTTGCCTCCACCTTGCGTGTGCTGAGAGGACCAGGTCTCAAGGCCCCTCTGGAACTTAAGAGCGTTTATGATGTCCTTATCAGAAAACTCCATCTTATGCAAGGGAGGATTTCTCAGTGCCCTACCAATAATGGGAATTACATTCAATGTTCAATGGGAATAACAAGGCTCTGCCCAGAAAGCTCGCATCTTCTCGACACTAGTCAGCATGATAACCCAACCCGAAGACTTCCACAAGAAGTGACGAAAACTCAGCTTACTGTTTGGTTGGATGGCTCGTTTTATTTTCCCTCAAACATATAGGACAAGCTTCCTTCAAGCAATAGTCTTATCTTTCTAAGGAAAAGGCTAGCTTCTTTTGCTGACCCTTTGTTATAAGCTCTTCCTTCTAAATCATTCGTGGGAAATCACAGGGAAGGCCCAGTATGACCTTCTTACCCGCACAGAGCTCAGGCATCATGGCTCCCTATCTATGCTCCGAAAACTAACTCTACTCACGTCTGGGCAGCTCTCGGGAATTAGAATGTACAAATATTGCCATCACTGGGCTTCCATAAACAGCAGGATCATCTGGAAGCTCTGGGTAATATAAACTTTAAGACTCTCAACACACTGGCCCAGGGCTGGGGGGAATACCGGAGATCTGTTTGTCTCACAATCTCCCCAGAAGACACTGATGCACTTGCTCAATCAGGAGATCATGAGCACGTCCATGGAGAAATCACAGATTCTGAGCTCACACTATGGCAAGTCCAGCCACAAGAACTCATTTGGGGGGGAAGATACTAGTGCTACGTGAGGTGAGAGGCAAGAGGAGAAGAGTGGGGGGACGCCCTGGTAAACCTCCACATCCTATTCTGGTCTTGGATAGCTCTGAGTAGATTTTTTTTTCATTTGCACTCATTTGAATGAGTTTCTGCTTTCTTACTGTTAACATCAATTATTGAGCACATACTGATTAGTGAATTTATAGCAACTTCGGGTTTGGAGATTTTCTTTCCACAATCACTAAGAGATAGCCACTTATTTTCTGGAAAAGGAAACTTTAGAGTACAGAAGGACAAGAAACTTGCTCCAAACGGAGAACAATTAGAAATCGACACTAGTTTAACATTCAGACACTCGATGTCCCATTACCTTAAGTAACGATACTATAGAAAATCTGAACTCACCGCACAGAAAAGCAAGATCTTTCTGGTTGTGGATGAGAGGTGATGGAAATAAAAGTATCCTAAAGACTGTGAAAACAAACAGCACCACAAACCAGATGGGTGAAATGAACGTGTGATGATGTCTTGCTTGTGGCTACCTTCTCTCTTATTCTAAACTTTTTTCTAATCGGTGGAAGCAGGTTGGAGAACTAGGCCAGCCAAGTCTAGTTCACCTTCAAATCCTAAGTTGAGGATCCCAGAGACAAATAGACAAATAAGTAAAAAAAAATATATAAATAAATTTTTAAAAATCTGGTTTTGCCCAGTTATTCATACACTTCTTGTTCTCTCAGAGGAATAAGAAGAAGATGCCTTACAGCCAGGTCAAAATTTTAGGAAAAAGTCAAGTTCTGAGGTATTTATGTCAAGCCATCAGTCTGAAAAAACTATGTAGACTTTTTATACTGTAAAGTGTAAACTTGTGTATTATGTACTAAATGCACATTTAAAAAAGCCTAAACCCAGGCAGACACAGTGGGCTTATCCCTTTACTTTAGTCCCGCAGACGGCTTAGGCGGGGGAACTATTCAAGTCCACAAGCTCATGTCAGTCTGCACAACACAGTGGGACCTTGTCCCAAAAAAAAAAAAAAAAAAAAAACCTGGGCCTCCGAGTGGCCAATCACTTGAGGAGACATATTTTAATAAAACCATCTGTGGTCACCTTGAAGTAGACACCAGGCACATTGTGTGGAGGCACACAGAGCTGACTGATATTGACTCTAGGGTTGATCATTAACCTCTGCCAAGCCTAAAGCTGGTAACGCTGCTGTGCAGGCCATAGTATACGTTCACAAAACCTGAGGTGTCTGTGGAATCAGATGTACTGACTTTAAAAGTTGAGCAGATTAATGAAGGAGCACTGTGATGGTGGAAAAGGCCCACTATAAACGTCTGAGCCCAGTTATACTCACGCTGGTGAAAGAAACACACTTCCTGAGCTGGGAGATAAAATTAGCAGCTAATGTGATAACTAACCAGCCCATAATGAAACAATCTGGCACCCTTGTCAGCATCCGGCTCGGGCTAATCTCTCCTGGAATGCTACGGTCACATGGATGCAACTTTTCCCAAGGCACCCTCCTTCCTCTCTCCCTGTGAAGCTGTCAGGTAAAGACACTTCCTCACTCCCTGAGCTGTCTACAATTATGTTTTGTTTTCTGATATCGGGTGCTGTATTTAGCAGGTAACCTCTGGTCTGAGCCTCCCTCCCAAAAATAAAGCCAGGGCATCATCGCATCCCTGAAGGAGAAAGGAAGCAGATGACAAGGGCCCAGCTACCCAGCACATTTGACTTCCTCACTCCCAGGAAACAGCCTCAGTATCCAGAGATGGAAGGAATGGTGGGTGTCTTCAGAGACCCTAACTGTCTCTGAGCGACTGGACTTGGGCCAGCTACGCTGTGCTATTTAAGGAAAAGCTCTTCCCGGTCTCCCATTCCCTTTTGGTAGAGTAGAGAAGAATGAGTAAGACAATGACCTCTCATTGCTTAGCCATCTTTGAAGGTTTGACACCTGGCACAGTAGCTAGGCAGAAATAGAAGCTGGATCTATTGTTACATGAGTTGATAGACAGAAAGACTGATGGAGAGATGGACAGACAGCCATATGTGAGTGGAAATAAACCTTTTCTTCCCAGGACTAGTGCTCCATCTGTACTCGGGCTGAGCAATTTTCTCAGGCACCCACGGGAAAAGAGGCACACGAAGGCAAGGGAAAAGAGAGAAAGAGAGAGTGTTATCAGTGCTCCAAACCTAAAACATCCCCGAGCGTTGCTGAGTCCTCTGGCTGTAGGTGAGGAATGGAGGCATGCACACTTACACATTTCAGGGAACCTGGGGCTGCTATCGCTTCCTAGAGGGCACATTGTACTAAAAACATGAGACTCTGTCAAAAATCCATCATGGGTGTGCTTGGAGAGAAGTCTGCATAAGAAGCCATTAGCTCACAAAAGTGCCAATGAGTTCTCTTGTCCATCCTTGCTCCCAGAGAAGAATGCCATGTCCCCATCAATCTTTGAGCGTGACTACATTATACCACAAGAAACACTACATGGTTTCAGAGACAGACTGAGAATTATCTGCCCTCTGCCTCCTTATTTACCTTGTGGTAAATGTTGCTATCAGGACAGCAACAACTCTTTGTTTATTAACTGAAAAGACTTTGATGCTCATAGAGGAGACAGGCTTTTCTAACAGCATTCCTCCCGATTTCTGTTCCTGTAGTTACTCTTTCCAACCGCTCCCGACCCCGTGACCACTAAAATTCAAGAGGATTAAAAGGATTGAACTTGGGGACCTTGCACAGCTCTGAATGGAGCACAACCCTTTTCCACCCAATGGATCTTAAACAGGATTCTCTGAAGCCATAATTGTATGTCTCTAAGACTAGAGAGCTGAACCCTGAGCAAACAGGAATGTATTTGCCACCTAGTCTGAAGATATTTGGGAAAAAGAAGAAAAAAAAAAATCAAGGCACTACTAATTAGTAATTAGTGTGAGAAAAAGAAAAGCAACAGCACCATGCAGGGGCAGTCGAGTTCATGCCATGACAGAAATTTCCTCCATGCAAGGACATAAATCACGAAACATCTATTCCTGAAAAATGATGGAGGCCTTTGGCTATATCTTCAATGAAGAATCTGTCCAGGGTTTCCACTTAGGCAGCCTAGGAATTCTCCCCTACATTCTCATAAGATAAAAGCCACAGGCTGCTACCACCCAACCCACAGATCCTTACCTGGTTCCTTCTGCCGATCCGATTTGGTCCTGGAGGCTTCATGGGGGACTTGATGCCCTGGGGGCTCCCACCATTCTCAGTGACATTTGCTACGCTCATTACTGCTGACATCATGGTGTTGATGGAAGACAGGTCTGAGCCTTCTAAACCAATGGGTGAATTTGACGTCATCGGGATGGGGTTTTATACCACTAAGAAGTCTCTGCTACAGAACTGAAAAACAGATACGACTGATGTTCTCATGTGAGCTTAGGCTTGTCACAGTCATGTGGCGCTAATCATAGCAAGGGCAATAGACATAGATCCCCAATACCCTTTTCCTAGTTCAACCCCTACCCAGAATATAGCTCAAAAGGATTTTTGTTTGTTTGTTGAGACAAGAGCTTGCTACGTAGCCTGGGCGGTCCAAACTCACTCTGTAGCCAAGATGACTCAGAACTCCCTGATCCTCCTGCTTCAGGCTCTCAAGTACTGAGATTACAGGTATGAGATACCACACCCAGTTCCAAAATAGTTAGAGCTTTCTTCTACAGATGCAACCCGTTTCCTTTCTAAGTGAAGGCCACCAATAGAACTCAAGCTATCTGAAGCAGCTTTATCTTTTCTTTCTTCTTCTTCTTCTTTTTAAATCTCATGTGTTCTGTGTGATGTGTTTCGTGTTTGCATTAAAGTGACTGCATGTGTGCAAATGCATGGTTTCCCAGATAGCTGTCTGCTTTATGTACTGAGGAAGTATCTCCTGCAGAACCCAGAACTTGTGATTTAGCCGGTCTATTCCACCTGTCCAAGAATCCTGTCTCTGCCTCCTAAGTACTGGGATTATGGGGCTAGGGGTGGTTGGGTGGGTGAGCACCACACATACCTGGCTTTTTAATGTGGGCATTGGGGATTCAGACTTTAATTCTCAGGGCAAGCAGTTCATCCAGTGAGCCATATTCCTAGCCCATGATTTTCCTAATCTTTGTGAGCAGAGTTTGACAAGAGGAAACAGAGCTGTGTTTGGCTAACACATTCCACCCTGTACTCGCTTGCTTCTTCTGAAATGTTCTAAACTTAAGAACTAGTTTATAGGACACTTCAGGTTTCCTGTAACTTCATGGCTATATGGCATCATGGATTTAAAGGTGTGTGTATGTATGAATTCTAGAAGCCAACCCTGCAAGAATTTTAACCAAATTTAAAACTATGATTAACAATCCTGTTTCTTAAAAAATGTAAGTAACATACAATTCCTAAGATGGAGAGAAATGCTGCCACTCTAATTACCTCCATTTTCTGTCACAAGGGACACTTCCTGGTTACAGTTGCCATCCACACAAGTCGGAAATGATTCTGTTCTTTTCTTCTCTTGGTGTCACCCCTTTACACTGGAAGAGAAATGGGACACCGAGTTAGTTAATTCACCAAGGAAAATGACTCAGTACTGGCTGGGAGTAAATGGTACATGCTTATGACCCCAGATACTGAAAGCAGAGATATGAGAATCTGAACTTGGTGCTAGCCTGGGCTACATAAGAGACTCCATCTCAAAAAAGAAAAAGAAATAGATTCAGTGTTCTTTCTTAGTGAGAAAAATGTGGAAGCACTGATTAGCTGTGACCTCACATCACTATTCTCACAAAGGAGAAACAAATCTGTGTCAGTCTTTTCTATCTTTCCTCCCCCACCCTCCAAGACAAGGTTTCTCAGTATAGCCCTGGCTGTCCTAGAACTCGATCTGTAGACCAGGCTGGCCTCAAACTCAGCCTCAAACTTGTCTGCCTCTGCCTCCTGAGCGCTGAGATTAAACTTGAGACACCACATCTAGTTTTTTTTCTTATAAAACTGTATGAAGTGGATTTTCAACCTAATGTCCCTACTGAGCTGCCTCCTATACTCTCAAAGGCAAGGAATTTTTCCAGTATTTTACTTTCTCACCTATTTCACGCCTAATTTTCTTTTATACTGAACCCCATTTCTTCCCAGATCTCCACTTTATCCACATCATTTCTCATTTCCTAAGAGCTCAGGGTGTAGACAATATTAGTTCACAGCTAGAAGACACGTGGGTAATAGGAAATGAATGACCAAAAGGAAATTCATGATCCACACCACATCAAAACCGACTTCATTCCTGAACTATAAGAACATAGGTGATATGTTCTTCTCATTTTTTATCTGGCAAAATATTCCAGATCTAGTGGTTCTCAACTCTCTTCATGCTTCTTCAACTTTTTAACACAGTTCCTCACATTGCAGTGACTCATAAGCATAAAATTACTTTGTTGCTACTCATAACTATAATTTTGCTACTGTTATGAATCATAATGTAAATATCTGATGTGACCCTGGTGAATGGGTCATTTGGCCTCAGAAAGGGGTTGTGACCCATAGGTTGAGAATCACTATTCCCTGTTAGTAATAACTGTTGGTATCCCAATGAAGCAGGAACCTAAGATCAAGTCTGACATCTCAGTTTCCAAGCAGATGCTTGGGAAAAAAACTGTAAGTTTGTGATTCCCTCCTTCAACTTTAAGGGGATGTAGCAATGGGTCCCAACCACAACGGCACTTACAGCCGCAGAGCAAGAGAGGCCTGGGGATGGAATTCTGTAAAGTCTCTACCAGTTAAGTAGCATCAAGTTAAAACTTATACCCCAATTTTGAATGTCGAAAGATAAAATATGGGAAACACTCAGTAGTAGGGAACATCTTAGGCCTATATGGGACTTTGGATTCAATCACCAGAACCTCCCCTCAAAAGACAAATGTGTTTCACACTTTGTGAGGAACACGTGTTCCCTCAAACATTTGCATTAGAAACTTAATTCTCAAATTCAAAAGCTAATGAATGGTCTTTGGAGGTGGGGCCTTTTAGAAGGTTACTGAGATCTACTGAGGAGGAGGAGAAGCAGGAAAGACCTACTCTGCCTCACCAAGGAAAGAAAACAAACCTCAAACCTGAACTACTGCCTTTTCATGAAGTTTCCCTCACACTAACAGACCACTTAAAGTTACTAAAAATTCATAGTGCTTGGGTGGTTTTTTTCTTTCTTTAGGGAACATAAAGACAAGAGTGCATATATAGAAGAGTGAAGGAACATACATACTTCTTTTTAAAGAGATTGCTAACAAATATGTCACCAGTTCCTGCTGTAACTCATCAGCGAGTATGAATGTGCATTTGGTTCACCTCTGTATTTTTGTTTGTGTGTTTTTGCTTTTTGAAGCTTTTTGGAGCCTGTCCCAGAACTAGCTCTTGTACACTAGGTTGGCCTTGAACGCACAAAGATCCACTGACTCTGTATTTTCAATGTACAGAAAGTTTAAGACCATTGACTAGAAATCGTCGATACATTTCTCTTATTTCAGTAAAGAGAAATTGAATCTATCTACCAATTATTACCAAGATTAGATGATGATTTTTGCTTGTTCCCACTGCTCGCTCGTTCTCTCTCTCTCTCTTTCTCCCCCCCCCCACCGTCTGAGACAGGGTCCATCTATACAGCCCATCCTTTTGTTTATATTTAGACAAGGTCTCTCCATCTAGTCCTGGTTGTCCTGAAACTCTTTATGTAGACCACATATGTAGCCTCTAACTCACAAAGATTCACAATGACTTGAACTTAAGAGTGCTAGGATTGATTTATCTGTCTGTCAACGAAGTTATGCAAACCCTGGATGACATTTGTATCTGTTTAAAACTATGACATACAGTAGTAGAGCCTGGTGTGAGGTCTTCCTCACCTCACTGTTCTTTTGTGGCGGTGTTTCCTACTGCCACCTGAGAAATCCTTAGGGTCGATAAGAACAGTAAGCAGCAGAACTATAGGCAGAAGGTAAGATAAGGGAAGCAAGCTTATGTTTCAGTGCTAGGATTGAAGGTGTGCACCACCATGCCCAGGCCTGCATTAGGGTCATGATCTATGTACCATTCCCAGCCCCATATTAAGATTGTGTTCCATCATGCCCAGCTCAGTAGGAACTGACAAAACATATTCGCTGGACAGAGGCAAACTACCAACAATCCCTGTCCCACAGGCATGAGAATCAAAGACGGATTCTTTCAAACTATCTAAGGATTTGAATACAGGCTGTCCATCCAGTAAGAATGACTATAGCTAGCTACCTAGCACATTTTCCTAGCTGGAAAGAAGAAAAGCCTTGCAAACATATTTCCCAGGTCTTGGCAGGAAGACATAGGCTACAGTTATTTCCTCCTTGGGGATAAAGTGTAACGTGCGGCACTAAGAACCCCTTTGTTTACTTCCTTTACGTGTATTTGAAATGCTAAGTAAACAGCAGTATGTTTTTAAAAGGAACCTCTCATTTCTGATGAGAACTGCAGTTAGCAAAAGGGAAGGAGTCTGAATTCACCCTGAGAGGGTATTTCAGAAGCACCAACACGCTTCCCTCAGAGCTAGGGTATGACTTCACGCCAGTTTATTCTTGATTGAGTCTGGCATGGCATTTTCCTTTGGGATCATGAAGCGGTGCATGAAGGAAAAGACTGGTATAAAACACGGCACTAATTGCTCTGCCTTAGGGGTAAAGAAACAACATCCATCTTTACATTGCGGAACAGGTACAGGATAATTCAATCAGAAAAGTTGTCTAATTCTAGTTGATCCTATGTAACCAACCAGCAATACTGAACAATAATAACCATCCAAATGGAAACATTTAAACCTGCTGATACTTATGTCTGGAAAGACAAGTTTTCTCTTTGATTCCCTCACCCAGCCTAGTTCCCCCAGGGGTAGTGACCCCCCCCTCCCCCGCCGATACCCCATGCCTTGCAGAGGATGCTAATGCCCAAGTCTTAACACAGGCTCCAGGTCACAGAGAGAAGCCTGTGCTTAAGTCTGAGAGGCTGAAATCCCCACCATGTGGGGCTGAGCTGTCAGAGAGGATCCTCCTATCTACTGGCCTAAAAGACAGTTTTAAGATCCATTTACAGTGTCTTTGTTGCTTGGTTTTTTTTTCTTTTTTTTAAACAGAATAGTTACAGGCCTAGAGAATTTTCATTCTCTTTCCCGCACAATTTCTTCTCCCATGTGCTACATCTGAGATCATTTAAGACTTAGACAAAAATAAAAATGATAAATCTGCCAAGATGACTCTATGCTTGCTGCAAACCTTGAAGACCTGAGTTCAATCCCCAAAACCAACACTGCAAAAGGAGTGAACTGATATGTATGTAGGTAGTCCTCTGACCCCACCCTCCAACACATACACTTTAAATCTTTAAAGTAAAAAAGCATTGGCCCATTCTAATACAAAAACCTCCAACTGAAATCAGAGAAGATAGGACCCCAGATGACGTTCCCAAACCATAGAAGTGACTGACCAACAGGTATCATCATAGATCTGGGAATGGGAGGAAAGGAAGAAAGAGGAGGAAGGAGAAGGAGTGTCTGAAGTTTTGCTTTCTGTGATGCAAACCCCAGGCATCTTGAGATTTCTCATCCCACACCAGAGATTCAACTGGTCAAGAAGAAGAGAAGAAGCAAGTTGCAGTTACAATTTTAATCTTATTTTACCCTACATTTTGGGAAGGAGAGCATGGATGGGGTGTGGGAGTGTGGGAAGCTATGATAAGACAGGACAGATGGATTTGGGAAAGAAACAGGACCATTCAAGGCGAGGCTAGGGGAGAGAAAGCACAGAGAATCGGTCTTTATTGTGACTCAAGGAGGCCTACAAACAGTAACTGACCTGTTTTCTTCTTTCTGCTGAGGAGCTGACACGAACTGGGCCCAAATGTGGGCAGGGTCACACCTCAAAGCCACCCCTTCTACAGCACAGAGTTGGAACAACCTGAAAAAAATACAAGAGGGTAACATTAGAAGGCTTTAAAAAAGGAAAAATTCTGCCCCTGTATCATTTCCTCTACTCACTGTCACAATGATGGGGACAATTAAAATCCCCTATCAGCAACTGCAAGCAAAGTGCTAGCTGATTCCATTAGAATCCACTCAAGTGCTGCTGAAAATGAGTGCACCTTCAACAGCCAGGACCCCCATTACCTCTACCAAAGTACAACCTACATTTCAGCAATTCTGAGGACAACGACACAGGAGAATGCTCGGACTGCTGGCTCTAGGTGGAGCTTTGAGCATCCTAGTGGCATGGTAATAGTCTTGGATAGAAGTACAACTCAATGACAGAGTACCTGCTTAGCATGCGTGAGATCCTGGGTTTCATCCCAGCACCACAAAGAAAGACAAAAATGGCTGAATAGATATAGATGATCCTCCAACAAGGATGGAGAGAGAGAGAGAGAGAGGGAGAGGGAGAGAAACAGCCCTTGGTGCTAATGGAAACAGGAGAGGAAAGAGAGCTGAAGAAAACAAAAAATACGAAACTTACAGCACCTTAAAGTAGTGATGACTGCAAGTATGCAAATGTGGGGGCGTTGTTTAACATATTTCAAACAGGGCCAAATGCACGGCCTTCTCTTTCTACAGAAAGACAGAACACACCTCTATTCATTGCCTTTAGGAATAGGAGAAAGTCTGTTCTGGGGTTCCACGGGCCCTGAAAGCACTAATCTGACAGTTGTGCCTGCTCAACGGTGGGACACACATCCTTTGCCTCTTAGCACAGCATCACTCTGCTGAAGCAGAGTGCAAACTTAAGCAGAATAAAAACTAGGGTGCAACTCAGTGGGCCAGCACCTGCTTAGCATGCACAGGCTCTCTAGGTTCCATGTCCCGCCCCACAGAGTGGGGAAAAAAGTCCCATAATTATCAAGAATGCCAAGATGCCAAGATGCAGTTGTCTGGTACATTTTCTCACTTTATCCTCTTCTGGGGCATCTGGAAACAAGCTGCACAAGTGTGTCATACAGCTATTATCTCTATATAGCTGTCACCTCCCATCTTACTTGGAGCCATCCACAAACCGCTCCCAAGCACCCTGGGCAGGACTGGTCTGTGTGGATGAGAACACTCCATCACCCTTGGCTGTCACAAGCAGTTCCTGGAGTTTTTGACACCATGATTCCCCCAGCAGATTTTCTGTTTACATTTCAGTGGCTCCCTTAGCCATCTCTTATGCTATTCTCTTTCAAATGTTCTCTGGATTTTTAGAGTATCGGAAAACAAAGACAACTCAGGGACAGCTCTGAATGAGCCATGGAGAAGCTCGAGCCTGGAAGTACTGGATTCAACCCTAGTACTTCCCTAGGTAAAGAAAATTACAAATTCTTCCACAGAAATACTCATACACTTGACATTATGTTCTAGTATTATGATAATGAAGATTCCTATCCAGGGATAGAAGGGAAAGGATCTTTGTTTATTGTTTCATGACTCGTCTTAAAGAAAAGAAATTGGAAAACATAGTTTAGTGGTAAAGCATTGGCCTAGCATTCTTGAGGCCTCAGATTTATCTCTTCCTTCTGTGCCACTGTGTGTGTGTGTGTGTGTGTGTGTGTGTGTGTGTGTGTGTGTGTGAGAGAGAGAGAGAGAGAGAGAGAGAGAGAGAGAGAGAGAGAGAGAAGCAATTTTTCCCTGATTGTATTCATTTTTAAAGTGATAGGAGGTTGTGGATGTAACTCCCGTGTAGAGTATTTGTCTAACATGGCCACGATGAGGCTGGAGGTTCAATTCCTACCACTGAAAAGGTTAAGAGGGCACCCACACATTTTTTTAAATGTAATGACAGATATAGTTTAATAGCCAAGAGTCTAGAAAAGAGCAGCATCTCCCTCTGATAAACTGTCAAGGTCTTCCAACAAGTGAACTAAAGGCAAGCATACTCCCAAGTCAGAGAGTCTGGAATTACACATTTACAGAACTGAAAAATAGTATTAAAATGTAGATCCACTTCCGTTTCTCCATTAGATAAAAAAGCAAGCCAGCCCAAGTGGCTTCCCCACAAACACAAAGAACCAAGGGATGAATCCACTCAAATCAAGGGTAAAGCTGAGACTAGGTTCTCAAAACTGCATCCTCTGACCTTGGATGTAAATGTTTTAGATGCTGAGAATGCCGAACAATTCAGCTGAATAACAAGAGCCACCTCCCTGTTTGTTTTGAGTTCCACTAGGTCTAAGGGAGTCATAAAGCTTGAGGATGGAAAAATACAAGGCAGTTTTTAAAAGGAACTTCTAGATACCCCTTACCCCCATCACTACCCCTTCAGGAAAAAAATGGGGGGCGGTTCTGGCTAGTTATGTCCAAGAAGAAAAAAGGTGAAAAGAACTGACTGGCTACATGCAGCATTTGAGGGCGGGACTGGGATGCTTCCCAGAAGGTTTGTACAATTCAAAGAGGCAGGATATCTTAGAGAAGGCAGAAGCCTCTGGGAGGAGGTGTGGTGGGGAAAGCCAGCCCTACCTCCCACCGCCTAGATAAGGGACAATGCTAAGCAAAGCCAGAAAGAGAAGATTAAGGAACCTGTCTCCAGGTCCAGGGAGATAGCAACAGAGAGATCAAAGATAAGAAGCAAGGATGGTTTAGAAGTAAAGGGTGGCATCCCTTCTTCTGAAGATGGAATCTGAAGTCTGTCCTCAGGCTCTCTGTCAGGAATATGGAGTGAGTTGAGATGCCTAGGATGACGGCGAGGGGCCTTGGCCTCTGTAATACTTGACTGAAAAGGCTACAGCCCTCTATGATGTGAGTCCCTATAATGACCATAAATCCATGTGGGATAGTTTGGGAGGGATGTATGATGAGAGAGCTGACCTGATCAGTTCGGGCCAATCCAGAACAAGATACAACGTACAAGATACAAGAGTAGAAATTCAGATATGAAAATGACTGAAGCACTTGACAAACTACAAAAAAAAAAAACATCTAAAGGGTGGGCTGAGCTGGGGACAGAATCTAACCTGACTAGCTATACCACCAAGTCTAAGCCTGCCCAACCCCAATGCAAACCTATACACATACTCTAACCAGGATGGCCCTGAAGGTTGAGAGAGTTGGGGCGGTGGCTCTCTGAATTCCAGGAAGTTGATGTGTTTCTAGGCTTCGGGCTAGGCTATGCCTTGGATAGGGTGTCTTGAGTAAAATGAAGGCTAAGGCATCATGTAACAGCACCCAAGGGCAGCTCAACTGAGCACAGCCAACTCTGCAGTGTCTCCTCCTGAGTAAAGATGGGTTGCTAAGAGATGGAGACTGTACCAAGTTTAAGAGACAAGCGTGAAGTACCGGTTGAGATGGCCATCCAGGGATGAAAGAAAGATGCAGGATCTTCTATTTCCTTCCTGAAGCCTACAGGAAGTGCTCACTCTTTAACCAGTCACTCAGAAGCTGTCCGTGCTTTAGCCCAAGTTTTCTTTCTGCCCTTGTCACCCACCAGTACCATGGCTACCACTCTTAAATGTGCATGATACCTCCTTGATTCTTGGGCTCTACCTCAAACTCACACCTCTGGGGAAGGCCCAGCATCCTGTCCTCACATTTCTCCAGAGGACTCTATTTAACCCTGGAACTAGCTCGTGAAGGTCAACAACAAGGTCAAAACCCCCAGGAATTTAAATCAACAACCTTTCTGAGAGCCACTGGCCTATCAAAGTCCTGAACAAACACCAAAGCACTGAAGCAGAAACTAAGAATCCACTTCCAACGTTGAGTTTATTTTCCTATAGCACAACTAAATAAGAAAGAAAAGAGAAAGAAAATCTACACGGGGCCTTGTTTCTAGGTTCCTCTGGAGAAGGAAAAAGCATATTGGATACAAGCTTCAGACAGAATAGGACAGAACTGCAATGCATGCATGGGTAGTCAGTGTTTTTCAAGTCTATGCTACTCCTTGGAAATTCAGTTTATTGGATACTCGAGCACTTTGTACAGAATTTCTGTGGACCTGGACAACTTCCCTTTGCCTTTTTCTCTGCCCCTCCTAGACAAGAAGGAATGTGCGGCAAAGGGTGGAGCGGAAGAGAGAAGAAGCATTAGAGAGCACGACCATTGCCTCCTACAGCCTTAGCGTTAGCTCAGGACCTCCTGAGGTGTGCCTGTTCGTCAGGCTCCGGGAGGAGTTAGGAAGGAGGAAACGTGAATGGAGAACACTCCTCGGCTAGCTCAGTGCATGTTTAGCATCCATGAGGCCCTGGGTTCTATCCCTAGCACCATAAGGATGAAACCAAAACCAAACAACAACAAGATGTGAATGGCTGGAAGGATACAGAGTCCGGTAGATGCTGTCCTGAACCGTCACCATGGTGGCCAGTCTTCCCCCAGCATCTCTTTGTTTCTTCAGAGGAAGGAGAAAGGCAGCACCTTCCCTGATCACACCCTTTCCTGTAAGCACTGTGAAGAAGCGGCCTCCTAGCAACTCCTCTCTCTACGGAACACATCTTACAGGCAGGATCTAACAACTGCCAAATTCACAAGGCCAAGATGCAGCTGCCACCTGGTAGCCATTTGTCACCCAGCATCCTCCTCCTCTGGGAGGGGAACACGGGTGGCCCTTGGCACCAGGCTGTGAGAAGAACAAGTCCTTGGCCTTCTCCCCAGACAGGCCAGACTCTTCCTAAACATTAGGTTTTCTGCTGGCATCTAGGCCCTGGTATTTCATCACTTTCTTGTCCAGCTTAGCAGAAACCTGTACCATTCTCTACTTTACAACAGACGAGGAAAAGGGGGTAAGAAGTCAAAGTGGTCTGCACCAGTACAAGGAACGCACAGGCGGAGGAGAAAGGGAGAAAAATGTCCTTACCTACCTGCTGTGCATAGTCACCTGGTTTAGAGTGGGGACTAAGCTTGACTCCTCCCCTACCCCACCTCCAGAGGAATTCTGGTTTATCAGGTAAAAACAGGTACAGGAAAGGCTGGGGTAGGGCTTCTATAATATGCCGAGATTGT